ATTCAATACCTTCCATAATGATCACACAAATGGTAACTCACTACCACCGTTGCCATAAAGAGTCCCTCGCGAGGCATTTCTCCTCTTTTACTATCGTTACTTCGCTCTCCACTATTCTTCTTTTGGGCCTTAGTGAAGCTCTTTCATACTCTCCATAATGACCCCATAAATGGTAACTCCCCACCACCGTTGTCGTAGAGTTCCTCGCGAGGGATTTCTCCTCTTTGACTATCGTTACTTCGTTCTTCCTACTACTAAACTACTACTATTTCTTTTTTGGGCCTTATTGATATATAAAGTGGCTCCACAAATAATTCTATACTACTTTGCTTAAAATTGGGCAAATCTCTCAATAATGATAACGCTGAACTCCTTTTTCTTGTATATTTTTGAACCATTCAATCTTGCTTTATAAATGCATGGAATTTGGTTTTTAACGTTCTCTTGTTTTCCTTTAGGTTTCCCTCTAGCTTATCTTCAATCTCTTCTCTTCGTTACATGATTTCTTATTTTATACAACGAACGTATTATACATTTTGAGAGCCCACGAGGTCCACCAGCCTAGCCACTATTTATTCCGGATCTCCTGATGCGGTTTTCTCTTTATGATTTGATGTCTCGCTTATTATTATTATGGCTAGAGATATTTAACACAGTATATCGCGGAGATACACTCCACCTTCCATCCTCCCCTCTCTAAACTTATATTCGATATATTCTCTAATTTATCTCGGCTAATGTTAGCTTCTTCTTATACATTTAGTTCTTGGTATGTATATATATTATACATGTTTCTGGTTTCGTACGAGTGTTTCCTGTGTATACATATGCGTATAGATGCATGTATACACGCACGTATATACAGGCTGTTTCAATATTGATGGTACAACCGTCGAAGAACCAGACTTTACATAAAGGAATAAATCGAAAATATGGAATAAATCATTCTTCATTTGAGATTCATTGTTTTTAATAAATTTCGAATTTCCTTTGGTTTAAACCGAAGACTCAAAATGAAACAAAATTTATTTCATGCTTTCGACTTATTTTCTCATGTATAATCATGGTTCCTCTACGGTTGTACTATTAATACTGCGACAGCCTGATTATACATGCACTTATTGTGGTACTTTGTAGTCTTTTCGTAATATATTTATATATATATATATATATATATGTATATATATATATTCGTGGCATTGCAGACAAAATTAAGGAGCTTGTAATGCATTCATTATACATACGTACAAATGGGCACAAAAGTGAACATTTTAATCGATATCGATTAATAATTATTATAGTCTGCGCGAGGATGATGGAACTTACGCTTGTTTACGAAGCACACTATAAAACACCAATTAGTTTTATTGAGCGTTACAAATACACCGTCTTTTAAAAACGCGTTGAATATCAACAATTGTTACATTAATTTTTTGATCTTTGGTGTATCGACATCCTTTATTACAATACATACATACTATATACACGTGTGTACAAATATATATATATATGTATGTATATGCAATTATTGTATGGCAGACAAACTTTTCTCGAAGCTCCTTAATTGTGTGAACATGCGGAAATATTTCACTTATTTTTAAAATAATCATATTTACACGCAAAGCTTATTTCGTTCATAATCTATACAATCATATAAATGTAATATTCACTGATAAAATTTTAACATAGTAATCCCTAGTTTTTATTCGCCTAACTTTCAAAGAGAAATATGTTACATCGAAATTACAGGTTTATATTCCATTCCTCCCGCTCGGCTCTAAATTGTATCATTAAATTACCGCATACTTTACAATATACATTGTTCCGTTACGATACACAGGACTAAATCAAGTTAAAAAGCATACTACTATTTACAATATAGATGTTCAAAGATATATTGAAATGGACTTCGTTAAACAAGCAATGATCTAGCTAAATAATTTAACTTAATATTAGAGATAGAAAAAGAATTGAACGAAATCGATCCTACGCCTGAAACGCGATTCCATTTCGGTAGATGTAAATCTGTTAAAAATTCTTCCTATATGTTTAAAACATCATCGAATCTAGTACGTAACGTTCGTATGAGACAGAAATATTCGCTTCAAATATAGACCACTCGATAGCCATCAAAGCTTTAGTTAAAGGGTATATGAAGAAAATATTTTTTTTATTCGAGGTATCGTCGAGACCAAGACGGACAGATATTTTCTTTACAGAAGAGAACCATTCGTTTCACAAAAACTGGACGACGCTAAAGCTAATTGGAATTTATTCAGTCGTGAAACAGTAATATGCTACAATTCGAACTGAGATTTCTATCATACAGACTAACAATATTTTCTTCATGTCCGACTTCGTACCTGTGACCGTGCACTTTCACCTAAAGCAAATATAACGGAACGTACTTACATAAAATTACGGAAAGCATAAACGTATATTGCTTATATGTGACATTTTAAATGCAGATTTCCTTCTCTCTCTCTCCCATTCTACACACGCATACACATATAAAAGAATGCTTTGATGACTATCACATGTCGACGACTCCTTGAATTCACCTCTCAACTGTATAATTTACATTTATACAATATAAAACTAGATTATCTGTTCACAAAAACAATTATCCATATACATCACACACATACATATATAGTAATTGTATATACGTATGCGTACACTGTTTTTATATATCCTTAAATGATCCGAAAAAGAGGGTGCTGGTAATATTCTCGGTGCCCGATCACGAAAAATAATTATTAATAGTATATATGACGATGTTGCACAATTTCAATTATCACTAATTTCAATAAAAATTTAAACAGTTCCTATATGTACAACGAGGAGTGCCTTTTACGCATCTTTACAAGAAGTTATTTACAAAATATATTCATTTATATATTACCCATCAAATTAACATTGTATTAACCGCTTTTTTTTCCTATTATAATTATTCTTATCATCTTTATATATTTATGCACGATCTATCCCAATGTTCTGTCTATGTTTTATAAATAAAATAAATCCTTTTCAATAACTCTATACCTCTGCCTCTCCTCCGCGATATTGTAACTCAAGACGAACTTCCCGTTGAAAGACCATGTTCACTGAGAAAATTCAGACGCGATTCAGAAAGAAAAAATATACATCGTTTTCCTAACGCGTCGTTAGTTCAATTCATAAAATCATAAGCTATATAAATCACACGTGTATAAAGATCGATATATGATTATCGTCGAATAAATTTACAGAGAGGAGTACGATTGTCCTATGAACGATTTATAGAAATCTTGATCAAGGCAAATTCAAACAAGTAAGGAGAAATCTTCGATCACGTTCAATTTACGGCGAAGTTATTGTGTCCGCGTGTGTTAAACGTATTTATAATGACGTACAAAATAAATACGGGATACTACGAGAGTCCTGAACATTTTGTCTGTCAGCGAAGTCGTCCGAAGAGCAGCGACTCGTGCCCCACCAGTCAATGAAATTTGTTCTCGGTAAACGTAGTAAACATTTACGCATGGCAGTACAGTCAGATTTTAATGCACTAAGAATTTCGACTTTCTTTCGCCAATGTCAGCTCGCATAGGTAACGAATAATGATGTTCTGAAAACGTGAAATCGGCTGTCTCGGAATTGTCCCTAACGATTTTTGATTTTTATATATATGGAACAATCAGTTTATTGCAATCAGCGTCCAATAGAACGATACTGTTCCGACCTAGAAAATGTTTGACCGTGTAAAATTTTGTACATGTCGACGACTCAACATAATTCATTTTCCTTTCGTATAAATTTACTATAAAACAACGTCCGTTCAGAGTTTTCGCGTTCGTTCAATTGAATTACAGGGTCGTGTGAAAGCGTGGCAAAAGAAAGTTACACGTTTGACTCGGCAGTTTTTCATCAGTTCAGTTACTTAGATTAAAGTATGATGCGTTGAGCAGATTATTCTGAGTAACCAAACTTGGCTGTTTAGGAGTAACGTGTAATTGAGAATGCCTAGACGGTAACAAGATGAAAAATTCATAATAACGGCAATAATAATAATTATAATAATAAAAATAATAATAATAATAATAATAATAATACATTTTAGTCATTTCTGACGTGCATTTTAAACATTTAATAACACAACAACGAAATTAGCATTCTAATACCTATAAATTTATCCGGAACAATCACGTTACTTCATTTTACGAAACGTTAAATTCTTTTATAGATCCAACTTAATGAGCGCGCATACTCCATTGCAACGAAAAAGAAAGAATCGAAATTAATAAAATACCATCCAGCTGTTCGTACACGATACTCCTGTTATACAGACAGCAGCATTGTGCGGTATCGACGCATGCAGTTTCACCAGGTGGGGTCCAGCCACACGGCGATCACATAACCATTTATAACGAATACACGATCAGTCGGATAGGCCTTGACGAGCGACGGTAGCTAATCACTGTCAAGGTCGCTTCCCGAAGGTCATTTGTTTTCTCGAGATATTCGTCTCCGTTTCGCCTGTTCCGCCGTCTCAGCCGTTACTAAAACAATGTTCCCACTGTACGAGGTGTCTTCAATTAAAACGGCACGTGAAACGTATTTAGAACACAATAACGATCAACGACAGAGCCCGCTTAATAACTCTCATGATACACTATTTACGGCCCGCGAGCATATTACGAATAATCGAGCGACACAACGACGCGTTATTAAGCAAAATCTGCAGTTATTAAGTGAACTCGCGTGTACGGACTGTGTTTACGTAAGTGTAAAAATTTTACGTACCGGCACCACTTCGAGTTTTCCGTCTCGTGACGTCTTCCGTCGATCTAGACGCGCCCCTCGTATTGCTCGCTGGTGTGGCCAACGGCGAAGCCGTGTTCTGGCGAACCGATCTTCTCGTCGTCACTTCCCCTAACGACTCGTTAGAAGACACAGAGGTGCCACGTAGTCTTTCCTTTCCGGCGGCTACTACCGCGGCCGTGCCCGGTTGTTTGGTCGTTAATAAACGGCTCTCTCTTTGCACTCTATTACTGGCATTGAAATTTGATATATTACTGGAATTAATTTGACTGCCAGAAACAGTTGTGCTTGTATTCGTTCTAGAATAACAAAAATTCATTTACGTAGCTGGCCTCTCAAATCTCTGACATATTCAGTTTTATTCACTGCTGCTAAAAGAATGCTGAACCGTGGTTGCTTACTTTTGATCTTTCGACTTTGGTGACGCACCGGACGTTTCGTCTGATAATCGCATTCTCGCTTTTCCCACGGATTCAATCAACGGCTCATCATCAGACGAATCTACTTCTACGACAATGGGACCTGAAACATGCACAAATGTCCGGGTCCAACTTTCAATCGACGTTCACAAATAATCGTACAAATTATTGTGGAAATGACCGAGATTGAGAGATGACATTTCAACAGACGGGAACACGTAAACGAGAATTATTGAGCAAAGTTGCCAATTTCATTACCCTGTTTTTGGCAGTCTATCGTTCGACGGTAGTAAAGAAATAAAATCTGCCTCTAATAAACATTGCCTACGCTACATACGTGTAATTTATCAAAATAGGAGAAGCAAACGTGTCGAACAAAACGAACGCATCCGAGCAGGAATAGAAGTTAGATTCAACACTTTTTTTTTACCTTTCTTAGCCTTGGTCAATATGTTGAATCCTTTCTTCGACTGTTCTTCCTTGAGAGGTACTTGTTTCTTTAAAGCAGCTTCGTCCACTCCCATACAAGCCTTGATAAGTTCTGCGGCGTTCTCGGAGCATTTCCGTTTGCCCGGTCTTGGTTGCGGATCGTCGGCGGTGCTGGACGCTACAGAACTTTCACTTTCCTGTCGTTTCCTTTTCCCCACTTTTATTGTCGTATTAGGAGACAACTTGGACACTCCTAATTTAGGGCTTGCTTTAGCGTACGGCGATATGCTGCGTCTCTCCTCTAATTTATTAGGACCATGAGGACTGCTCTTCGGTGTCTTTACGATGTCCGGACTGTTCAATTTCTGCGATCTGGTTCTCAACGATCTCTTCTCGTTAGTATCATTTGGTATCTCTATCAGTAGCTGTTCCAGCAATGACTTCGGCGGTCTCTTCACGTAGTCGTCCGCGTTATTAGAGTTCAATCTTTCCACGTATTGCGTCTCATCGTTGTCCTCTATACATATGATGTCCTGCCGCCCTTCCAACTCCTGTTTTCTCCTACGCTTCCTCTTGACATGATCGACGTCGCTGGAGTCCACCTCTGGATTTTGCGCCGCCGGGCTCGGCGTCTCTTCCCTCTGTAAAACTACCGGGTTCGAGTAGGTGTACAAGGGTGGCGTGATTCTAATCGGCTGAGGATCTCCACCGAGGGGCGACTGAATGCCTATGTTTATATCGCTGGAATCGTTCACGATTTTCTTAACCAGATCGTCGGTGATTTTCTGAAGGTTCATCGGAGGCTCTCTAACGGAGGATATCTGTTGATGGGTTTGTACATTAGATTTTTGGTTTTGATCAGAACATTGTTCCAACTTGACAGACGTCACGTTTTTCATACCGTCCGATCGTTCGTTCTGCTGCCTCGTGTCTACCTTCTCATTATTCGCGTTAGACTCTACTTTGATTTCCGGACTAAAACTTTTACTATTGGGACACGGGCTGTCGTCCGCCGCCGCATCAGCCTCGTTGACGACCGCGTTATCATCAGCCTTCTCCGTCTTCACTTTATTATAAGCAACATGATTTTGTATTACAGGCACACCATTGTTATTCTGTCCATGAGGTTCGTCGTTTAATCTAATTGCACTATTACCATCTATGACTGTTTTTACATTGTCCTCGGATGCACTCTCTGGGACTCTCGGCGGCTCGTGTTTCACACTCGCCGCCTTACCCTGATCGTGCTGACTGACAGACGTTTCTAACTTAACGCTACAATTGTCTTTCTCGGAGAAGTCACTCGCTTGCTGCTGCTGCTGCTGTTGCTGCTGCTGTGCGCATTGTAATAAATTATCACTGTCCGCGGTGCCGGCTATGGAAGTAGTCACAACGGTCACTGATCCCGACACTAAAGGATTCGACGCACTTTTATCGTTCTCGGTCGCGTCTAAATCAGCGATCGACTCACTGTGACCACCGGTCCTCGGGATCGTCGAGGCAGAGCCGATCTCGCTCGACGTATCCTTCGCGTTGTGCTCGCTAGAGTTTGACATATTACGATTCAAATGATTTTCAATATAATTCGCTACAGACACAGGACTCAACCTTTGCTGGCCACTGGACTTGAGAAGTTCCGAATGAGAATTTGAACACATATCACTACTACTAGTTGAGGAAGGCACGTTCTTATTGGTGATTGGCAGGGAAGGAGATTCCCCTTGGACAGCGGTCTTCGGGCCGCTGCTCTGCGTTACCGTTTCAGTCACTGGCCTGTGCAAAGGAGACTCCCCTTGGTTCGGTGATTTCTCCGACAAAGCGTCCATCGATTCGATCCCGGAATCCTCGCCGCCTCCGCCGCTGCTGACCCTCTCCGCGCTCGCGTCGACCCCGATGGCGATCGGGACCGTGGTCTCGAGCACCTTCTGCTTCACCTTCGCCTCCGTCATGTTGATCTCGCCGACAGGCAAAATCGGCTTGCCGGATGGTACGTCGACGCTCTGGGATCTGGGAACTTGGTCCACCGAGTTTCCTATCGTTGAACTCTGCGTAGTTTTCAATAAACTAATTTTCTGCGCACTGTCCACTTTGTTCTCCGCCGTCACCGCCGGCCGGTCGGACTGCTTCACGTGGTTCTGAACCACCTTTTTATGAGCAAAATGCTCTTGCACTTTGTGTCTGTTAATAGCAGCGACGGCGTCGTTTTTCGTGACCGCGTGGTTCTTTATTTTCTGATTAATGGCCTGACCTTTCGACACGATGCTAGAATTCGTCTTACAATTATCAGTTTCCGTTTTACCCTTCCCAGCAATGATCCTGTTCAAAGGCGATTGCGCAGTTTTCACAGTAATCTCCACGTGACCGGGTTCGCTGGCCTCGACGTTGCCTGCCAGACTCGAATCCTTCTGTGCAGGTATGGTCGATGATACCAATCCGGTGCCTTCGTTCTCGAAAGACGAGTTACTGGTAGATTTTGCGTTCGTAGTAGTACCGCTTATATTTGTGTTTGGGACTGCACTGGCGGAAGAACGTTCGGTGACGATCTGCTGATTATTAAAATGTGTCGTCTCTGCATCTTGAGATTCTGGAACGTATTTGAAAAATTTAGTTTATCATTGAAAGACGAAGAGCAGAATAAAATCATCGTATCATATTTACCTCCTAAATGCAGATCTTTCTCGTCCATTAAACTTAATCTCCTCCTCTTCTCCTGGCTAATTAAATCCTTCTTAACGCCGTTCACTTCGGTCAATCGCGAAGCAACCGCGTTCAAGGTACTATTCTTTTCCATGACAGACCGCGTGATCTCGCTGTCACTGGTCCTCCTGATCTCTCCTACCTTCTTGACAGCGTTAAAGTCGTTCCCAGTTAAATGTGCGTCGGCTTTTCTCACGGGTTGGCTCGTGTCACCCTTGTAATTAAGTTTCCTCCACTTTGTCTGGTTGTCCACCATCCTACCACCTGACAACAAATTTTGTTCGCGATGTAAACCGTCTCCGGATTCGGATTTCTTTTTAGAATCTCTTCTTTTGGTTTTACCTGCGAAACAGCGAAGCACCGTAATAATAAAGATCGATCTATGTAACAATTGAAATAATAAAGTTTTATGCGTACCTCCTCCTATTTTATGTTCCTGCATATGATTTTGAACGTCAATCTCAACTTGATTCTTTGTCAACGTCTGCTGCACGTTCAACGGTTGACTCAATACAGTGGTCTTGTGTTTCGAAGGAGAAGGTATCCTACTGTTCAACGGTATATCGTCGACGTCGCCCGTTTTACTCGAGCTCGGTTTAGTAATGCTACTCTGTACGCGCATCACGTCCATGGGTAATTCTTGTTTTAAGGCATTAGACTTCGACACGACCGCTTGAAATATATTGTTCATTTTGCTGATAGAATTGGTGCTGTTGATCATCGTGGAATTGGACAGAGGTAATTTTGACGCGGTCGACGCACCGATTATCATACTCAGAGACGACTTCTTCTGCAACAACTTGTTCCCGTCTATGCAGTCCTTCATTTTTTTCAACTTCCCCCGCCTCTTTATATTGCTCGGATCAGACTCGCCGTCTTTCAACGACTTTTTTTCCTTCTTTCTGATTTGTACTACCGAAGCGTTACGTCCTCTTAAGGAAATATGTAAGGGAGGCACTCTTGGCTCGTCACCGGTTCCCGAATTCGGGATGCCGGTGGTGAACATTTTATTCACCGACTTATCGGCTTTTCTCATCGGCGGGGTATTCACGAACGAGACGTCGACTTTGTAAGCAGGCGTGACAGGCTCGGACTTCTCTAATTTTAGCCTGAGCTTGATCTTCTCCCCGGGCATCGGACTCTGCGCTGTCTCGCGGTTAGATTTTATCCTACTGTGTTTTAAACTTCCTTCGCTCGCGGTAGACTTCACGGTAGTCTCGGAGTCCGATTGATCCGTGTTCGTCGTCGTGTCGTTCCTCCTCGAGAAATTGCTGTCCGCGTCGTCGTCGGAGAACATCGAGTTCGATCGGTCGTTCGACGGCGACGGAAAGGGAAAGAAGTCGTCCTGGTTGTCCACCGCGCTTTCCGGCTCCGATTCCGAGCTCTCGCTAGGCATCGGTTCCAAATGGCCGGTCAAAGGGTTGATGAGAAACTGTCGTATTTTACCGGTCGACGTGTATTCCGGTTCGGGCGACTCTTCCTTAGGCTTAGGAGATTCGGGAGCTACGAGCTTGGTGGCGGGCGAGGAGACGTTATTGTTCGAAACGTGATTAGCGTGAGATCCGCATTGAGAAAAGGCACCTGGAACCTGATTCGCGGTTGGTAAACGAGTAGTATTAACTTGAGCACCTTGTGGAATAGTATTATTTTGTGCGTTCCACGTGGTCCCGTTAGCGTTGCTAGTCGTCGCTTGATAATTTCTGCTCAAAATGTTCTGGCTCTGCCCGTACCGAAAATCGGTCGTAGCGTTCGTATTAACGTTCAGATTCTTAAGCTGATTGTGATGTAACTGTTGCTGCACGTTCATCGCTTGGTTCTGCTGTCCCAAATGGGACTGTGCCGGAACCGGTTGTCGCGGGTAAGGAGGTGGAGTCTGCTGACGTTGACTGTTTAAGTAACTTAGCCGTTGCTGCGGCACGCTCATGCCTTGCGTCGCGTGTTGCATCAATTGTTGCTGCGGTTGCTGTAAAAGCGACTGACCGGACACCGGCGCTGATTGCAAAGACGTGTTCACGCTCTGTGACTGCTGCTGAGTAGAGATCTGTTGCGTGAGCATGTGCTGAGCGTTCATATTTGCTTGCGTCAAAACCTGATGCTGCTGCTGTTGCTGCTGCAGCAGTAACTGTCGCTGTTGCAAGGGAGTGCGTACTTGCTGTCCGTTCACCGGATGCCTGATCGGCACTTGGCCCTGCAGTTGTACTTGAGAAGGCCTGTAAGCCAGTTCCTGTCTGATGGGAAATTTCTGTTGGATTTGTACTTGAGCATGCAACGACGTCGCCGGTTGTTGGACTTGTCCACCGGCAGGGGATTGATGCGCCGGCTGCTGCGCGATACTCTGCGCGGGGCTGCCGGCGATCACGTTGACCGGGTGCGATTGAGGGATGGTCGAAGGCTGATTAGCGTTGACGGTCGCAAATGCAGAAGCAGTAGATTGAGATAAATCAGGAATGACCGTCGCCCCGCCGATAAGATCCTCTGCTCGAAGGGAATCCAAATTCGGCGGCGACTCGCTGGGTGACGATAAATCTTTTCTCCGCACCGTTGGTTTCTTGGTCGGTCGCATACGATTGGTAAGCCCGGAACTATCGACAACAGCTGGTGGTAACATTTTCTGACCGGGTACCACGTTGTTAGGGTGCGCGCCGGCGTCGTTCTGCAGAAGGTTCACGAGGAGCGGGCTGGACAAAGCGACTTGAGTCCCGTTACCGTTCGAATTCCCTGCCAGATTATTATTGTTGTTTGGTGACAGACTAGACGTTGCAGTGATCGAAGACTTGTACTGGTTCGTTAGCTGACCGAGCGACACGACCGACTGGGTGGTGGTGTGGCCAGCGGTTAACGCTGCTGTCACAGTCGACAGACTCTCTTGAGTGGGATAAGGCGGGGGTGGCTGAACGTGATGTTTGAACTGCATCGCATTTTTAATCGTCGTCGCTTGCGATTCCCGATTGTGCATCGCTTGAGCGGCGTGCGTCATACTGGCGAACGGGAATGGACCATTATAACTGTTCCTCGGCGAAGCACTGGGATTCGTCGCTGTTTGACTTCCAGAGGCACCGACGCTGCCGCTGCCCGACGTCGACTGTACGGATTTCGCGAGAAACGGCGGGATGCGATCACAGTCGGTCGGCGCGACTACGTTCGGAGATCGAAATTGTGGTGCTTTTTCCGACGATGTTCCTAAACAGATAATTAGAACATGTATGCACCGTACGGTAGGAAGAAGAGGCTATTAACTCATCCCACGAGCGAAGTCTTACCGGCTGCAATTATTTGAACCACATTGCGTAACGTTGAAGAGATGCTAGACGTATTATTACTTGGACCAGGTAAAGCTGTCGATGGTTCATTGTCTGTGTTGGTCGTATTGCTACCGGATTCATTCTGAGATTTGGCACCGCTCTCTTGCGACGGTCCTGAACGTAACACGATTTCTTGTGCCTCTCCACTGAAGCGGTTGGCTATCCTCAACGATATCACCTACGATGATCAACGACATTTAGTATTCTCTTCGACTTCGAGCTCCTACCACTACCTCGGTATCAAGAAACGTATATGTTACCTGATCTCCCTCGACCTGTACTGAAAGAATTCCAAGTTGCGTAAGTGTTGGAGAGCCCTGAGCTGCTAATTCTCGAAGACGTAATGCAGCTTCTCTGGGTATCGAAAATGTGACTCTGACAGAGTTCCATGGCTCTACCTTATTTACTCTTAAACCATCTCCTTTATCTAGAAATAATAAACGTCGTACATAAAATATACTTTTCAACGTGTTCGACGTTGATATCTTCCAATTGGGAAATTTTGATTTCATGCTACGTAGGAGAAATTACCTTTGCAAAGCAAAGATTTAAGACGATCGAGAATAATCTTAAATTTGTGTGGAAACTCTGGATCGTCTAGGTTACCTTCACACGTTACGACCGTTTGAATCAGATCACCATCACTATCAGCCGCCATGACTACAATAGACAACAAATTAGAACTCTACTTAGAATTCAAATACATCGTTCGAAGCGTCATGCTGCTATAATATCGCTCGGACGTTAAGATTAAATCGAATCGTGTAAATATCATGAAAATCTTTTACAATATAAAGGTGCAACTTACCAACTACAAATCACATAACTACCCAGAGAGGTCACAAACGCCTCAGGGTATCACTACAATATAGTGGTGATAAGATGTTTGACTGTCGGTTTTGAACCGACGGACTCCAAACCACTCCAGCACTAATAAATATGGTTATTGTTTCTATGGGACAGAATCATACAATTTCATTATACAAAATTATCTGTTAATTAATCTATCGAATTTCTTGCAATGCGGTCGATTAATTAAGAAATTAGAAATATGAACAAATTCGATTTTGACATAACATAAAGGATTATCAGTTTTCGCCGGTCATCGATATAACATATAAATAATAATCTTTGAATACATTTACAAGACGAAGTATTTGTAAGAAACTTCTAATTCGTAACAAATCATATTCAGTGAGGATTTTCTTATAAAATTTGATAAACATCACCGGGTCTCTATGTACATCAAAATAACATTTTTTAATGATTTGTTATCACATAAAAGCTTCGTATTAAACAACATAATATACGGATGTGTGTAGGATGTAGTTTAGGAAAGGATTATTTGCATATTTATTACATAACACGATATACTTGAGATCATAATAATTAAAAAAAATTGTGGCCACGTCTCAACTAAATTCGTGCAGTGTAAATACAATAATAACAACGACGTACGAACCATGAATGTAAAAAAAAAACAGCAAATTAAGTACAATTTACATAAATTAATTATAATGGTACATGTTCAATATATTATTTTAGCATATCGATAGATCTTGAAAACGGGCACGTCTGTAAAACATTTATAACATAAAAACGACTGTAGTAACGTTAAACCATAAAAAATTATACATATATTAGGATTGAAAAATATTTGAAAATTAAGAAAGTCAATGATATTTAATGAAACGTAGGGAGGAATGGGAAAGGAGGATCGAGAAGGAATGGTAGAAACGTTAAATAGGTGTATGAAATTGACAAGTGTTTTCGAAACAAAACATAAATGAAAACATAGTGCATAAACAAAAAGTGAGGCCAATGAGCATTACTAGGTTATAATTTTTGCCGAATTATACCGATTAATGAAAAATAATGTACGTTCGATCTCGATTACGTTTACGATATTTACCGAGTCGACGAACGTGTACGGGGTGAACGAATTTGGACCGAGTCTTACCGTTCGCGGACTGCAATTAAAATCTTTTGGGCCATAAGACAGGGGCACAACTTCTATGTCGAAGAAAATAGGTTATAGAATATTTTTTTCAACCAGACATAAAACGTGAAGAGTCGCGGCGGTCGGTATTCGGTGTTCTGACGACGGGATAGCTGGTTCCGACGGTTTCCATAATGATTTTCGTTAAAATAAGGGATCCAGAGCACTAGATATCGGGGGGCCACCATTTTGTCCGTCGGGGGAGGTGTACGTGAAGTGGGCTCAAGCATGCTCAAGATAGACCGTCAAAAGTCTGTACATTTTTATTTAGCGGGTTCCCCGTGCGCTCCCCTAATCACGTATGCTTACCAAAACAAAGTTAGAATTCGACAACCTACAGCATGGTACCCGACGAGCCTCACTTCAGTCTTTGCACAGAACGATTTCATACCGTATGAACACAAGAAAATTTTAACGTTACCCCATTTCTTTTCAACTTCGTGCGGGATTTCTCGCGTTCGAATTGCACGGAGCCACACCACAGGAGCACTAATTCTTGTCGAAAACACGCCCCGCGGGTCTTACTTCACTTTCTGCACAGAGCGCGCGGTAGGAATCACGAAAAAACTCGACATAATCGGTAATATAAAGGGACAAGTCATAAAACGCCATGAACAATAACAAGGAGCCGCCATTTGCAATGCGAACAACTGACATGCGCAAATCAATCTCGCGGAGCACACTGGGTATTCGACCGGAGCCATCTTAACAATCGTACATTCTCTAACCTCGTTCGTTCGTTTTGCATTCGTTCTTAACATTTATTAGCCCATTTATGAATCCCATCCTCCGTTTCAATAAATAGTTTTAGAAATCTAACATATAACTTGACGCGTCTCATTCATCGCTCGATGTTACACAACATCTAAACGAAGACAGGGTTATTGGGTCGGGAGTTCGCTTTTTGATTTGTTCGCGAATGATTTCTTTGATTAAATACAACAGGAATATATTTTAATATCAATCAAATCATCCTCTTAGATTTTCATCTATAAGTTAAATTATAAGAACTTTATTTACATATTTGAGGTACCTTCTATAATACATATTTATTTAGTAAACATGTACATAATTCCTTAAACAGAATGATCGTAATACCACTATTTCATTTGGAGTGTAATGATAATTAGCCTTTATATGAATCCATGAGTCCAGCTTCATTCATCTTTTTCAATGACGCTTCTGCATCATAAGTCCTAAAATAATTAACGATATCCTTGTATTAAAAGTAAACGTAATTGATTCTGCTTTCTATGGAACTTCAATTACTTGTAGAATTCTTCAAACTTCCTTTCATACACATCAGAAACCAAAAGCTTGAAGGCTAAACCACCAAGTGCGCTAACAGTTAACATTATTCCCATATTCTTCCTGACTCTCGAGAGATGAAGATCACGAAGCTGAGGTTTTGCCAATCTTTTCTCTCCCATCTGAAATATTGTACATTGATACATAAAAGCATCGTCTCTTTAATATCTTGATTCAAATGAAAAGTTCTTTTCGGAGATTATATAACGTTTGATAATGATTTTTTATCGATATGATGTTTATTTTACTCATAGGGATGGTAAAACGTTATTAAAACGAGGATTGTTGACGTACTTTTATTGAAATAATTCGGTATCCTTCGTTCTATTTCGAACTAATCTCGCACTGAACTAACGTCGATAACACATCAGTTTAGAACCTGCTGGAAACCATTCGCAAACTGAGAACCTATGTGCGAGTACATCATAGACGTCTCGTATGATCAATTTTCGTATGCACACGTTCACAAACCATTTGTCGAAATAAAAAGAATGAAAGCAATATGCTTGAAAAATCCTGAATTACTGCTTGCAATAATAGACAAATATGTACAATAAAATGATTAATAACAAGGATTCCTAAGCTCGACGATAACGTTGAAGCTGAGACAGAAATGGGAAGGGAATTCCAGCAACTATATCAAACTCAGTCTATGCTTATACTATTATTATCAGTGATGAATTCTTCCATCGAAGGAATACTAACAATAAGTAGAAACGTTAATTTGCAAGTATACTGAGAAAGATATAATTAAAAAGCTGTACGTATAATTGGGTGACGCGTTGTTCTCGAACAGCTACCGCGACATGCTAAAGAAGATAGTCGTAGTAACTGGTATTTTGTCTGATGTCAATATTTATTAAAAATGCAGTGATACTGACAGCTGAGGAAGAGCCGAGTTGTTGCGTAGGTAGCTAACTACACTTGGACTCTCTTCTCGTTATAAGTACGTCTGTATCAATAAAAAGCAAAAGTGTCAACGGTGCATCGTGCAGTTCACTCGTAAGTCCGAATTACGCACAACTAGCTTAATAGTCTCCTTAAACCTCCCATTATGTTATACTTAGGTTTAGAAGAGATGTTGATTAATATTATACATGGATTAATTTTGGCGGTAGGTAATAATACGTAACTCTTTTATCGTTTCGTTTGTGACTCTTAATTCGTTATTTGCATCGCAGAGGTTTTTCGTTCGCGTCGTTAATCTTGAAATAGCTTTCCTTTTTTTCCCGATTTTACATATACGAATCGTACTTCATTGTATATGATCTGCGTAAAATGTGTGTTGTTGTGTTATATCTTATCTAGTTATTAATACTCATAGATTTCCTTTGTCTTCTTACACATGTTTATCTACCATGTATTACATTATCTGAAGGAATGTCAATGTATTAATGTATTCAATAGGTTCCATTTATGACTGTGTAAAACCAGTCGGTCTCATATATAACGAACATGGAACGAATGATCGCGTTGAGTACCCAAAATCCACTGACTTTACTAGTAAAGTTTGGAATGATGGCTTGGAACGGCACCTGCGGCAATGAGAATTGTTCCGGACACGGTGAATGCCACAATGGTACTTGCTTGTGCGAGGTACTGTTCGCGAAAATTTATAATAGTCGAGTAGATTTTCATGCTTCTGGAGAGTGACTTTGTTTCTCCTGTAGATTCAGTTCGACGGATTGGAATGTCACGTTCCAAATACGAGCTACTACATTGCATTTGCGACTATATTCTTCATGCTGGCATTCGTCTGCCTGATACAGCTTATCATGTGTATCGTAGCCGAATGGCAAAAGATGAAAGCACCGACTTTTCTCAGAGCTTGTCGTGTTACAACGCAGAAAGTACTGTACTTCATAGTCTTTCTCGCGTCCCTGATAAGGGGAGCGTATTTCACATCTCCGGTAAATACTTAAATAGAAGTATCTTAGATACGAAGGTTTGTTTACACACTAACGAGATATCAATCGCATTGTTTGATAGACTGCTTTTAAGGAAGGATGGTCCAGAAGCTTGTTATCTGCATATTATCCGCTTGTGTTAAGTGGATCTTCGTTGATCGTTTGTTTCTGGGCCGAGGTGTTTCACTTGAGGGATGTATCGTGGGACAAGCCACAGTTTCTTTCAAAATCGTTCGTGGGATTTTTCATCTTCAACGTATTAATATATTCTCTGCTGGTGGCGGAATTTATTACTGCTCAGATATATTCACAGGAACATCAGGTAATCAGACTTTTATTTGCGATATCAGAAACGATAGCTTCGAACGTCTACACTACAAGATACTTTTTACAGAGTTTTTACACTCATGTATTCAACGGCTGTTACGCAGTTCTCTTGTTCATAGTCGTAATATTCTTCTTGATTTACGGAGTGGAAGTATATTTCAAAGTAAGTTACTTTAAAAGCAAGCTGTCGATACGGGGTATTATGGGAAACGGAAATTCTTTCTAGATTCGAGGTGGCTTCTTGAACGATTATGAAAACAGCACGATTCTGAATAAGCGTACGGTTATCGATCCGAAAATTAACGGCGAGGAACAAGTGACTGCGAAGTTATTCGATCCTGTCCCGTGTTCGTCGTTGTCTCAAGTGCAGGAGCAAATAAATATCTCTCAGCTGCATCAGTCTCGTGTAGGATTACTGTCGCAGGCCCTTATGCTGTTCATCATTGGCGGATTTCTGTGTAGCGAAACGCTCAGCGAATTTTGGAAAACGAAGTGAGTGCACAATTGACGCTTAAGTGTAGTCGATCGAATTTTAATAATCATCAATGTTTTTCTTGGTGCAGAGTTCCAATTCATAGTAGAAACTGGCATGATGTCGTTTTCCGCACTATTGAAGTCGGGGTGATATTGTGGTTCCCCTGCGTGCTGTGGAATTGTTTCAGGTTCGTATCTCGTCGATAATTTAGTAACGAGTTATTCGATTAACGTGCTAACACGGTATTGTACCATTTAGCCCGGAACAGCTGTGGATCTTGAATCCGAAGCGTCTGTTGAAGAGATTGGATCACAGCAAATACGTGAAAGAAATCGAGCTGCAGGATAAGAGCGGTGAGCAAGATGCCGCGCTCTTCTCGGACGGGGCATCGATCAACAGCAAAGATTGCTGGATTTGTTACGATAGCGAAAGACAGGACGCTGGTCCATTGATACAGCCTTGCCTCTGTAGAGGTGACGTGAGCGCTGTTCATCATAATTGTCTGCGCCGATGGTTGGTCGAGGTATAAAGCTTTGCTCTTTTCCGAAACCGTCTTATTGTTGTCGCGTTACATATGCCATGGGTGTTTCAGAGTTCGGTAAATGCTGACAGCCTCTGTTGCAAAGTATGTGGCGCGAAGTACAACGTTGAACATGCAACGAGATTGGACTGGCAGAACAGTATGACTTCGCGTCACTGTCTGCAAACTATCGCTATCGTTACAACGATGTGTGGGTCATCAGCTGCCGCCTGGACCCTTATACAAATGGTAGAAGGGCCGATCATAAGAATGCTTGCAGCTGGAACTGCGTTGCTGGTGATGTACGTCTGCATAAGGTAATTGTTCAGTTTGAAACAGGTTCCAAAGCATTTGAATTATACATGATTAATTGATGTGGGATGATCTGTTTCCAGGTTTTTAAGTTTAAACACGGTGGTTGCATATCAACGTGCCAAAATTTCATCCCTGAACATTATTAGTTCTGACAATAACGGTAATGCACATGTTTCGACTATAAGCCACACGATCTGCGTGGACTTGCCAAAATCTGAGACAGCTACCATATAAGTAAGATTTGTTTATCGAGGTTTTCGATATTTTTATTTTACATTCGAACGAAATTGAGCAGAGGGGAGAGGTCGATATATAGAGATTACATAGATATCACGATATGTAATGCACATAGAATGCACGCTTTCCTGCAGTTCGTTATGTAACGTTTGATGTTACCAGTCACTCAACGAAACGGGAAATGTGTATTGCGTAATTCATTATCGTACTAGCAATGCGATTGAAATTATTTTACGCCGATTGACTAGTCCGTTTACTAAATTGCAATAAAGTTTAAAAAATTTGGTAAAAGAATTCAGACCATTCTGACGGAGTACTTTCATTGGTTTGATCGATGTTGACAATGTGCTAGTCTTGGGAGAGTTATTTTTAAATATAGACATTGATAATTATTTTTTTATCGGAATTATCTAAAGGACAAGGTTTCGATAAAAGTGAGTTCGAAAATACGCGGAGAGGTTTATTTTTGTAGTTGTCAGTAAGCGATGATAAAATTGAAATTCGGGATGTGGGTATCTCAGAGAGAGAGAGAGAGATAAATGTTGTTAAACATTGATAGAACGTGAGAATGAACATGTAAAGAAATGTTACCAACATTGTATTACGTATCATATGTATACCTACTACATAAATAGTTTTGTATGATTTTCAAAAGCGTTCCCGTAGATACAGAAATAAGATAATACGTTTCGTTCTTAGTCGCGATATTAAATAAGTGTAATCGTTCGATTATGGGACATTATATCTCGAATAGGAAAATGATGGAATCTAGTTCTCATGGTATAACTGCATATATAAACATAATGATTTATGGAGCGACGTATATAAGCAGCGAGCAATTTAAAACAAAAAACATGTGACACACACACATTTTCGTGTAGATAAAAATAAGGAATACGTTTTTTTTCTCTGCGATGTATTACGGTAATTTTGTATTTGAAAATACTCGTATTTCCTATTGCGATTTATTATTAGTTTTGTAGATTCTGTATATAGTGTATCGTAATTAAAATAATTAAACATCTCCTAGTACCGAGAGGAAACATGTATTTCCCGTACTAATCTAACACCAACAAATATTTTTCGTTGCATCTTTTGTAGGAATACAGCTTCGATTATTTAGCAATATAAAGCTACCGTTTATATGCTGGTTTTACTAATAACTAAAGTTATACCTGTAGATTACGCGAACGTTAATAATTAAAAGTTTCTTAGACTGTCACGTTTATTTGTATTATAATAAATTGGTTAATGCAACATGTTTCTATTACAAATACGAAGTTATAATTCACCTCGAACTGAGTTTAAAACATGGGTTAAAGATTACTGAATAAAGAAGTTGAAAATAAATTAAACAAACCTATTGTACATTGTTAATTTTATTGTTATGTTTACAAAGACAACATTTAACAATGTTACATACCAAATGAAAATATTGATTATTAAAAGGCAAAGTAAATTTTTGATCGGTGAACGTGGAAGAGCAGATTCTAATGAAAGGGTGTCTGATTTCAGGAATGTTTCCGAGTACTCTTTCTACGTTACTTTCTCAAATAATTAATTAGGTACGCATAAGAAATACATGTTACCAATTAAATCGAATATTTAATAATATAATTATAGATATACAGATATAACAGAACTTAAGAATATTGTTTAATATGAACTAATAATTTCATTTCCATACCTTCTCTGACATTAAATCTGCTCTGATCTGTGCAATAATATTACTTGTTGCCACGTGTAAATGTAAATGTTCGCGTCGGGTTACTTCTTGATATCGAGGTTCTGTATATTGATGAATAAATTTTAAATGCATTCGTTCTTTTGTTCAACCTACGCTGAAACACAGAATTCGATTAAAGGATGTATTCTGACGACCGATAGACGAACGAAAGGCTTACCTGCGATGCCTGCGATTGCTTCTGAAGCAAAGTATTTCACGTCCACGTCGCTATCGGTGTTCAGTTTATCGAGCACAGGCTTCACCTGTGTCTGTACGGCAGAAGGCTCGAGATAAGGCCCAATCTTTTGGAGAGTCTTAGCAACGTTAAATCGTACATTCGCGACATTATCAGTGGCCATTCCAAGTACTGTCGGGAGCATCACCCTAGTAGTTATTTCCGGACCGCACACTTCTGCCAATACCTATAAATGGGAGAGACAAACGAATGTTAAGACCATAGAGAGCGAAGTATAAACGTGACAATGTTACGCACGTTAATACAAAATAGGCATGTCATCCTGTGAAGATAGTTTTGATCCCTCGACATTGCTAGAACCTTGGGTATTACGGTGTTCTGCGCCCAATCAGGCCCGAATTTTTCTACTAATTTCTTCAAATTTAACGTGGCTGCTTCTCTAATAGCATATACGTGATCTACCAACCAAGTCATGCATAATGAATTCAATTTCTCGTCGAAGAATTCGACTCCAAGCTGACCAGCCAACAGTGGCATGTATCTAAGAATATTATAAATTCGATGTTTCAATACTTCTTACATTATAAATATACGAAAGCTGTGAACGTAACTTACTCTATGATAGCGTATCGTACGCGCCATTTCGAGTCTTCAGCTAATTCTACGATAGCTGGTAATAACGATTGTGAAAGTTGCTGTATCCCAATCACTTCGTTGACGCATTCTAAATTACTGATAATATTTAAACGAACTTCTGAACAATCGTCTCTCAGTTGTGTTAAAAATAAAGGTAACAGATGTTCGATCGTGCTGTAAATTCGAAGGATCACTAGTTTTCAGTCAGAAGTAAATTCACGCGTTTACTTACTTGTGTTTTCCAAGTATTGGACTAAGACCCATTATGACGCTGGCTAAAGCTGATTTTACGTGTTGGTTCGGATCTGACACTAATTCCTTAACTATCGGTAATATGTTGTTCATAATAATAGATTCTTGATTGAATTTGTCGAGGTTTTGACAGAAGTCGCGGACTTTATCGGCTGCAGCAGCTCGCACTTCGGCTTCCATGTCTTTTAATAATACTTGAAACGCCGGTACGAGATCCGTTTTCGTGATCTCTGGACCTACAGCTTTCTGAAGCTGCACATAGAAATGAACATTGAACGACGGGCAACAAATTATATATCCGTCGCGAAGGTGAAGGAGCTTACATCAGTGAATTTGTCTGCTACCATGTAACGTACACGCCATGACTGGTCGCTGGCGCATTGTCTAAGCGTGGGCATAAGTAATTGTTCTACATCCTCTTGCGGCAACAGGGTCGCAATGCTGACACAAGCTTCGATGCCCAGAAGGCGTACTGAATCCTGTCATTCGACAATGCATTCCATATGAAACGTGTCATTCCAAATCTAAGTAGTGTACTAAAACAATTTCACCCGTGGCTTACCTGTTCATCCTGCGCCAGAATGACGAACATCGGAATCAAATCTGCCTTCACGTATTCGAGTTCCATCACTTTCGCGAATTCGCCTAAATGCGACGCGGCTGACCGACGAGCCATTGGGGTGTCGTCTTGGCACAAATTCCGAAAATGATTTCTCAAACATTCTGTAACGACAAGAAGTTATCGATTCACTTCGGTCCAAGATTCTTCTCCGCTATTCTCCTCGTACCTTTGACCGCTGGACCGACGCGCGGGTAACAAACGCTGAATAAACCACATGCCGATGTTCTCGATGTAAACCAATCTCCTGTCGCTAGACGAATTATCAACTGCAAGAACTGCTCTTCCAAATCTGTCGGGCTGTGTTGAGCAGCGATGGTCCTCAAAGACTCTACTGCTTTATCTCGAACCACAGTCTCTTCGACTGTCGCCAAACTTTCAAGAGGTTTCTGTCGTAAAGTACATTTTTATTAAAACAGACCATCACAATAAATTTTCCAGTTACACAAGTCACAGGCTTGTATATCAAATGAGATGTGAATTATCAAACAGTTTTTTGTTATAGTAATAATTATCCTCGATATAGAACAATGCATGCACATGATATGATATGAACTGTGATATGCTATGAGTCATGATTTCTGCCTACAATGACAAGATAAAATTCTCTTAAAAATCAAGCAGAATAATATATAAATAGTAAGTACCAGTAGACAGTGTACATATTCTGGACCTCCGACGAGAGGAGTGAACTGGCCAAGTTGTTCTGCCAATGCCAATAGAACCTCATCCTCGTCGTACATAGACTCAGTCAGAAATGGTATCAATTCGCTACGTGTTCTTTCGACGCCCAAGGCGAGGGCAATCGTCGAAAGTTTCTTTATCGAGTTTAGCCGTAACTGTAATAGAAGACAGTCCGTGATATAATTCAGTTTCCTACAATTCATTCATTGACATCCTAAACGGCTCGTCTTTCTTTCTACGCGACGTAAACGATACTTGAGTTCGAGTGTGGCGTCATAAAAGACTTGGACGAGATCGTTTCGCGAATAGTTCACGATCGCGCTTGTTATCGCAACGAGAGCGTTTAGAATCTAATGACAAGAGTGCCAAAGAATATTCTATCGAAGGTACGCTACTACTGTAGCCGCCGTTTGACACTTTCATTTTTCGAGCGACTACGAGCGATACGATCAGCCTATCGATTTATGTTCGTCGGATATAGGTTTGAAATAGTCCTCGTATTACCTGTACATCTTCGTTTTTGAGTTCGTCGATCAAAACAGCGATCGGATAAAGGCTGTCGTCCGTGGTCGAGTCGCACGCTGCCATTTTGCTGCCGATCCCCTGAACTATACCTATACAACTGTGTACGGTGTATTTTCTGTGTGCGGAGTGCGGGGTACACTTACTGATACAATGGGATGCAGTATGCACACAGTTTTACACACGGAGACGATATAAGCCAGCACGGGCTTGTGTTAGTTTCCCCTAGGAGGAGAAATAAGTTTATGCAGTGTTGGGCACCCCGTGAGATTTTTGGTAACTAGGCGTCTAAAAGACATGCGTTAATGACGTCACAGCTAAAGATGTCACGTGATCGCAATCCCGTGTATACTATTTAAGGATGTATTGGCTATACAGACAATCCCAAAAGC